CGACCGAGATTCATCTCTGGAGATTCCATCGACAGATTCCGAAGTCGTTCAGTCCGAAATTCTGAGTAGAGCACTCGGGGCCCACACACAAAGAGGGTCCATAGGAAGATATCTGTTGCTGGGTAGAAGAGTCCAATTCTACTTCCCTTACATCGTGACCTATATAAATATGGATATCTACCTTGTATGAATCACTGAATACAGCGATGATCCACTTCTACAATCTCGGGTCTGTCCGCGGACGAAAAACAAAAGAGGTCATCACATCGCTCGTCGGCACGTCTAATCGACAACGAATATATCTCAAAAGTCGATTAAATTGTTTAACAGAGTTGGATTAACATGCACAGATTTGCGGCGAAAGGATCGAGAAGTCGAGGAGTCCAAGGAGCAGTGGTCCGTGCACCGTAGGTCACTCTACCCCACTTCGACTGATTATTTCCACTGTACCTCCAAGTCAGCAATTTTGGCTTCAATGTACCAGAGTCGATAACTATATCCTCCTAATCCCGCGATAAGATCGTGAAGAGAAGAACCATCTTGGTACAATCACGCTTGGATGACCGCACTTCGTACTCGACTCCGGGGATGTGGCTTCTCCATACTAAGAGGTCATCCACGGGGTCATAGCCATTATACGAAGAGACGAAGGAATAGAGTCAAACGATCACTTAGTAGTGAGTACCTCTCATCGAAGATACTCTAATAGCTTGAGAGGGACATGGTCGTAATTCTTCAGTAGTCAAGTTACAATACAAAGGGCTCGACTAGAATCGTATAATCGTGATAGACGTGAAGAAGAAAGACTAAGAACCGAGCCAAGACACCTCCTGCTTTACAGTTGGATAGAGTTGCAGCCGATGTTGACCAATCCGTTACTGTAGAAATAACCAGTCAGGACAGAATTCAAGAAACTGGAAGCAAAAAGGACACGTACAAGCTGTTGTTATCGCAGCACACTGCGCTGGCTTGGCAGCCCTTGACGCCACCGACGATGTTTACAATGGGGTTGCATTGCACACCAACCATGGTCCTTTCGACGGGAGCGACGATGCCAAGAAGGCCGGCCATCTGGAGGAAGTTCTCGTCGTCGCTATAGTACGTCTGGTCGCAGCAGTACTCTTGCTCAACTGTACAAAAGGTACATGTTAGAACTTATTTGGTGACAATAGTGGAAATGAGACGAACTATTGCAGTTGTTGACCTGGGTGGGAGCGGCCAAGACGCCAGTCATGACGGTTGCAACAGCGAGATAGGAGACGATGGCACGGATGGAGAACATGTTGAGCGATGAGAAGGTTGGAGAGATGCACCAAGTAGATGGAAGCGGATGAGAGCCGATGGGGATATGAGGTCGAAAGTGAGGTGCTTTTATACACGAGAGGACCCTGGTCGCCCTGTAGGTGTGGCGAACAGAAACCCACGTCCGGCGAGAACACAACGAGTTGGAAGAACTTGGGAAGACGAGAATTTTTCCTCGTTATGAGGGTGATTCTACTATCACAACAGGGAGTCAATAGGGCGGGGAATTTCGTGCCAGCCAGCAAAGCCTCAAAGGGGAAGTAGGCCTATCCCTGCTCTGGACCCGACGAGAGATTCTATCAGGGTTCACCTCTGGAAATTTCATCGAGAAGTCCGTCATTTCGACATTGTAAATAGATTACCCAGTAGGCTCATCCATGTCGTCCACACCAAATGCGCGCGCTAATTGTGATTGGTGTTCTGAAATTAAATTCAGGGAGCAAGATTCTCGTCAAATTCGACTTCTGGAAGTTTTGTTGCAGACGTGACGCCACAGTGCCACTTGCGGAGCCGACAACACGCGCCAGTCGAGAACCTTCAAATGTATTGTCGAAGCGCTTCGACATGTTGACCACATCGTCATCTAGTCCAAAGAAGCTCTGTATACATAAGCAACGTGTGTGAATGGAATGGTACTCCACAATTGTATCATGAGCTCGTTAGGAAATTTGATTCGACAGGGTGAAGGAAAACAGGTGTTGGAGACGAGACCAAGATCCGGTGAATTGACTCGATGTTCGACCAACCGTGCTCACCATAACGGCTGTCGGGCATCGTGGACGCACCGTAACCGCTCAAATGTCAATGACATCACGTGGTAGAGCTCGGCGAGAGGATTTTTTGGGTCGGAATGATTGGTCTTCACATTGTTAGGAAGATGTTGGCGCACACGCAATGGCCCTCTTATGTTGTGAATAGAAATTTTCAAGTCTATCGAGTGCTCTACTCAGAATTTCGGACTGAACGACTTCGGAATCTGTCGATGGAATCTCCAGAGATGAATCTCGGTCGAATCTCCTGTCGGATCCAGTGCAATGCAACGCTCATTTCCTCTTTGAGACTTTGCTGGCTGGTACGAATCGTGCACCCTGTTGCCTCCCCGTTCTGGTTGCAAATTTGTCTTCATAACGATGAGAGACAGGAATGTTCTCGCCTTCTCAAGTTCTTTCAACTCGTTGCACACTCGTAGATCCACGAGTTTATCCTCGCCAAACCACCAAGTCGGAGAGGGTTCTCTCGTGTATAAAAGCAGCCAGATTTTCTACGTCGTCTCTTCATCGGCTCTCATCCGCTTCCATCTACTTGGTGCATCTATCCAGCTTTCACATCACTCAACATGTTCTCCATCCGTGCTATCGTCTCTTCCCTCGCTCTCGCGACCTTCTTCACTGGGGTATTGGCCCATCCCGTTGAGGTCAACAGCTGCAATGGTCAGTCCAATTTGAATCCCCGATTGTAGCTCTCTATCTAACGTAAATATACGCAGTCGAACAAGAGTACTGCTGCGACCAAACATATTATAGCGACGACAAGAACTTCCTCGATATGGCCGGCCTCCTCGGAATCGTCGTCCCCGTCGAAAGGACCATGGTCGGTGTGCAATGCAACCCCATCGTAAACATTGTCGGTGGCGTCAAGGGTTGCCAAGCTAGCGCCGTCTGCTGCGACAACAACAACTTGTACGTATTGCACTTTCTCGATCCATGTCCTCCATTTTCTGACGTGCTCTATTTACAGCAATGGATTGGTGAACGTTGGATGCAACTCCATCTCCGCTTGAGGGAATGGAAGTTCCTACCCGGTCCAGTGGCTCCTCTCTACTTACGCTTATTACGAATATACGGCCATAGTTTAGTTGTTTGTATGCCATTGGGTTAATATGCAACGATGATGATGATGATTCTCCTTTAACACGTTGCATTCATGAGATGATCAGATACTTATTCAACAGGTCCCATACGTTGATTCCTCTCTTTACGGACGATAGAAGACGTAGAGTACATCTCTGATTCAATTAAGAAGGTAGCATTAAACTGGAGAAACGAACGTCTGCCTCCTGAGAATTTCGCAATGTTCGACCAGCCCTACTAGAGCTATGGGCTCCGCATACGTACCAGAGGACTGCTGTTCATAGCCGACCTTCTCCATCTACGACTCCTTGGGCCATTAGACATCCCTATGACGAATGCACAGGATCATTTACGACTGTTCACTCCTATAACTCCGTTTGCTGATGGTTTGTATTGGACTGACCTAGCACGAGCGGAAAGTGAGGCGTGTGTGATTCGAATAACGACCTATTTCCTTTCGACGTTACTCAATACAAAGGAATAGACTACTCTTCATCAATAGACTTGAAAATTTCTATTCACAACATAAGAGGGCCATTGCGTGTGCGCCAACATCTTCCTAACAATGTGAAGAC